TTTTCATAGAAAGAGTGGATCTTCTGTGAAGGATCCTGGCTCTGCAGCAGGCAAACGAGAGGGAAGTTTCTCTGCAGGATGAAGGAGACCTTCACCCAGATCACAGCCGTCAGGAGTTGATTCTCAAGCCAGGTGTGTACCTGCAGGACCCCTGAGACCAGTGTGGGGACTGTGTGCTGCCTCTGAAGGGCCCAACCAGGGAGCTGGCTCCCTGCCCACTCTCGCTCCCCATCACACGGATCGTCCACACTGCAGCCACAGCGAGTCCTTCAAATACAACCTGATGGTGCCAACTCCCTGCTTAGAACTCTTCAGTGAGTTCCATCACCCTTAAAACAAAAACCACTAGCTGGGTGTGGTGGTTCATGCCTGTAATTCTGGCCCTTTGGGAGGCCAAGGTGGGCAAATCACCTGAGGTTGGGAGTTTGAGACCAGCCTGACCAACATGGAGAAACCCCGTCTCTAAAAACACAAAAAATTAGTGGGGCGTGGTGGCTCATGCCTGTAATGAAATCCCAGCTAATCAGGAGGCTGAGGCAGGAGAATTGCTTGAACCCGGGAGGCGGAGGTTGTGGTGAGCCGAGATGGCACCATTGCACTCCAGCCTGGGGCAAACAAGAGTGAAACTCCATCAAAAAACAAAACAAAACACTATGCTCACTCTCATCAGCCAAGCTCAGCACCTCCTCTCGTCTGTGTTTCCAGGAACTGTCCCTGCTCCTTGCACTCCGGTTCCTGGACCTTCTTTCAGTGCCTGGGGCATCCTGTGCTTTCTCACCTCGGGTCCTTTGCATGGGCTACACTTCCCATCACTTCTTTCCCCACCTTGTCTGTGACTCCTCAACCCCTCCTGCAGGATCTCAAGTCCCTCCCAAGCCCTGTTGTGTTTCCCTCTTCTGCTCTCCTCATCACATTGTGGCTTCTCCTCCAGTGTGTGGTGATTTATTGTCTTTCTCCACATTCTCAGGAATGTCAGCCTCATAAATCTATAGTTCTCACCATCACCTGATACTTGGGCAAGTTGGTGCTTAACGAATTTATGTTGAATGAGCAATGTGAGCATCAGCAGGGAGGAGTCAGCTGGGATGTTTCAGGAAGGGTCCGGGGCTCAGTGGCTTTTTTAAAAATGATAGAGTAGAGTTTTATTATTACTCAAATCAGTCTCCCCAAGAATCAGGGATCAGAATATTTAAGGATAATTTGGTGGGTACAGGCTAGTAATTCAGGAGTGCTAATTGGTCAGGTTGGAGATGAAATCATTGGGAATTGAAGCTGTCCTGTTGGGCTGAGTCAGTTTCAGAGTCCAGGAGCAGAGGCTAAAACCACAGTGGTCTGTCCAGAAAGACGCTGAGCTATAGAGGAAACGCAGTCACTGCTGGAGATGCTACCTGAGGGATCTGGGATGGTTCACCTTACCTCTGCTTGATTGAGCATGGGCCTGCTTAGAGAAGCCAGGCCTGGCCACGGCTCCAGAGAGGCAGCAGCTGTGTGCTGTCTTTTGATGCTGAGGCAGCCATCACAGTTCCCGCATCTGACAGAGGAGCTGACCTGGTGCACAGGAGGTCTTTCTGTACGAAGAGCAAATCTGAACATGTAATGGGCACATGCGTTCGCTTGGGCTGCACGGTAGAAATAGCACAGGCTGGGTGGTAAACAACAGAAATGTGTTTCCTCACAGTTCTGGAGGCTAGATGTCCAAGACCCAGAGGCTGGTAGCGTTGGTTTCTTCTGCAGCCTCTCTCCTTGTCTTGTAGGGGGCCACCTTCCCGCTGTGTCCTGCAGGGCCACTCCTCTGTGCGTCTCTTTCCGTCCTAACCTCCTTCTCTCCTACTGACATCAGCCAGCTTGGATCAGGGCTCACCCTAATGGCCTCGTTTCAACTTAGTCACCTCTTGAAAAGGTCCTGTCTTCAAATACAGTTGCATTCTTAGGTACTGCGGGTCAGGGTTTCAACATATGGATTTGGGAGGGACAGAATTCAGACCATAGCAATAGGCTATGGCAGGGTGCATGCCATGATTTGACAGCATACCACAACAGGAGACACAGAGAATAGAAGGCAGACACAGACACAAACATTGATTATTTTTCAGTGAGGCTACGTACAACATTTGCACCTCCGATACCAAACTTCTACCCCAAAACTACCACATGCAGGACCAGGGAGCACGTCGTCCATCTCACTCCCTCATCAGTTCAGGTCACAACTCCCTGCTGGTGCACAGGTGGAAGCCACCTTCCACCTCTGTGCCTGTGCCAGCTTCCTCGGGGGACAGGTAGGTTACCTGTCAGGTAGCATCCTTTGCATTCTGTTCAACCAGTTCAAGCTGCCCCTTCTTGGAAGGGGACAGACAAGTGACTATGGGGAAGCTGATCTCCTTTTCCGTAAAAGGAAACTTTAAGGCTGGCTTCCCACACAATGGGCTCTTCAGAGAAGTGGGTTTTTTAAGGAAGGGTTTGCAAAAGGTGTAGGGGTTAGTTTGAAGACAAAGGGAAGCATCTCTCTAAAGGGGCTGCAGTGGAGCTGTGGATAGGTGACCCTTAAGGAGTGGGAGAGGAGCCAGACCCTTGTGGTGAGCTGGAGGGTATGGGTGTCACAGGGGCAGGGTCTGTAAGGAGGCAGAGGGAAGAGGGAGTGTGCACTAGGGAAGGCGTGCAAAGATTCTGTTCTTATTGAATTCATCTTGTTGCAGGCGAGAAGGAGAACGTGAACCCATGCACACCCGGTGCTTGCTGTGTGCCCACTGTGTGCCAGGCCCTGGGGACATGACGATAAGGAAGACTCCGTTTCCTGCCTCAAGGAACACCACTTAGCTAGGGGGGACAGATGGGCACACAGAGTGCCATTCACTGTGGTCAGAGCCCAGCGAAGTGCTCAGCATGGAAACCGTGTCCACACACTCATGACTCAAAGAGAAGTGCTGTCCAGAGCAGACGGGGTGCAGGGCCTTAAATTCCACTGGACAGGTGAGGAGGGCTTCCCAGAAGAGGCTGAGGAGGAGGTGGCCAGGCTGGGGTGGGTGGTGGGGAACAGAGCATCCAGGAAGAGGGAGAGAATTCAGGAAGGCAGGAAGCAGCCACAGGGTATGGGCACATCCAGGGTTGGAAGCCTCGCCTCCACCGCGTTCTAATTGTGGCCGATATCTTTCTTCAGCCTTCTGTTTGTGCTTCAGGCCCCATGCAGTCCAGGCCTAATTGGGCATGCCTGCTTGGACGGCCCTTTATGGAGTGTACAGCCCTGTCAGGCATCCAAAGACCATGTGACTGGGAGTTTGGTATTAAGCTGTATTATTGAGTTCACAAACTCAACTTTCAGAAATCTAACCAAACAAGGGATTTGCAAAACAGTTTCAAACAGAACAGAGCCAACTACATTTCCCATGACAATCAGCTTGTTTACCACCCCAAGGTACACTCTAACCGCTGTTGACATGCTCATTTGCATGCCAATACCCAGAATGCCTTTCCAGCCCCACTGCGCTGCTATCCTGCCAGTGAGCTGAAAGGTTTATTTACACATACAATGCATGACAACTTCATTTTCTGAAGCATCTTTCATACAAACCGTATCCCCAAAATGCCTTAAGTTGGTGAAGGAATTTCAAAATCCTTTTAGAGCTTAAACCCTTCTTTCTGGGCTGAAGTGGAGTTAACTTATGCATTGCCCAAATTAACATTTTAATTAAAAGATACTTAAGGGAAATGGGATTTCGGTTATTCAGCCATGTGTCATGTTATGCTTGGTATATTAAGCCAAGTTTATGAAGAGAAACTACACGGCCACAGATAGATCAGGCAATACAGAGCTCCAGGTGCACTAGGATCACCAGAGGAACGTTAACGGGTAACTTTCCTATGGCTGGAGTTCCCTTGCACTGTGGCCTATGAGATTACATTTATCTAGGGGCATTGGGTATAATGGCACACGTGGTAAAAACATGCACGCCTAACAGCAATTTTCCAATTTTAAGAGTATAGCATCCAGGAGGGGTGCTCACCCCTGTAATCCCACATCTTGGGAGGCCAAGACAGGAGGATCCTTTGAGCCCAGGAATTCAAGACCAGCCTGGGCAATATATCAAGACCCCATCTCTACAAACAATAAAAAAGTTAGCTGGGCATGGAGGCTGAGGTGGGAGGATGACTTGAGCCCAGGAGGTTGAGGCTGCAATGAGCTATGATTGCACCACTGCACTTTAGCCTGTGTGATAGTGCAAGATCCTGTCTCAAAAACAAAAGCAAAAGAGTGTAGTGGGGGAAAAAAATGATGCGAATTGGTCATCTGGCAAGTTTTCAGGAGCAGGTGCACTGGATTTTGATAGTAGTTCAATATTGGCAAAAGAAATTTTCCTGCCTTTTTGTACCAGAGGAAAACAGTATAAGAGACCTTCAGCCAAGTTTGAAGGTGTTATCTAGGAATAGCCAGATTTTGTGTTAAATGCATTTTTGAAAATGGTTTGGTGTCTTCTTTTCTAAATCACTGGTGCAGCTACCAGGCTTGGATATGGGGGACGGTAGAGAGAGAGCCATGATGTCCGAGGCCTCTTGAGTATGTGAAACGAAGTGGGTAGCCAGACAGTTACCCTGCAGAAAACAGATCAGCAGCCTCGTAATTGGCTCCTAGAGATGAAGCAGCGTTTTGAACAAGTTAGAAATGCGAACTCTGGAGTCAGGCTCCTGGGCCGGAGTTGCAGGGTCTCCACATGCTAGCAGCATGACATCTGGGAGTCATTCACCGCTCTGTGCCTCAGTTTCTCCATCTGGGCAATGAGGATTATAGTACTTCCTACTTCATAGGGCTTTGATGAGGATTAAGAGGGTAAACAGGTGTCTGGTAATGCTGGCCGCTGTTGTTATTAATGCACTACAATAGCCCATCTCATGCTTTGAAGATCCCTTCACACTCTACTGACGGCACCAAGGGGTTTTTGTTTATGTGAGTTCTCTCCATTAAAATTGGTTGTCTTTCGTCTCTTCCTCCCTGAAGCCGGCCTGGGTGGATGTCTCCGGCACGTTGGTGCAGGGGGATGAGGGCCGCGGTGGCTGCCAGCTTGGGGTTGAGCGAGGGGCCCGCTGGCTTCCGGAGCGGCCGCCCCCTCTGCTCGCCCGGCCCTGCTCCGGCGGCTCCCGGCTCGGCTGTTGAGGCTCCCAGGGAGCGGGGCCGTGCAGGCCGCAAGCCCGGAGCGCGCAGGCTGGACCGAGGCGCGGCGGCCGCTGTGGCCGAGCTGCGCGCCGGCGCGCTGGTGGCCGTCCCCGCCGGTACGCCGTAGGGCCCGGCCTGCGCGGCGAGCTGCTCGGCCGCCCTGCGCACTGGATACCGCCTCAAGGGCCGCAGCGAGGCCCAGCCCCTGGCCGTGTGCCTGGGCCGCGTGGCCAACGTCTACAGATGTGAGCCCGAGGGGCCCTTAAACACCTGCTGCCAGGACCAGTGACCCTGGTGATGGGACGGACACTCGGAGAACTAAAAACCCTTTTACGCCTCTTGCAGGCATCCGGATTCCTGATCATGCCCTTATGCACGACTTGGCTCGGATGTTTGAGGGTCCTCTTGCTCTCACTAGCGCCAGCCTCAGCTCACAGGCCAGTTCTCTGTGTTGAGGAGTTCCAGGATCTCTGGCCCCAATTGTCCTCGGTCATTGATGGGAGACAAATTGGGGGTAGCCAGAGCCCTGCGTGTCGCCTGGGGTCAACTGCGGTTGATTTGTTCGTGCCTGGAAAGTTTGGCATCATCCATCCAGGCTGTGCCCGGGAAAGTACCAGAGCCATCCTCCTACAGAAGTGCAGGCTGCTCCCCTCACGTGCGTCCTACCTGTGAAACTGGGAAGCAGGAAGGCCCAAGGCCTGGTGCTGGATTCTATATGTCTGTCCACTGACGACTGGCAAGGCCTCATTTGCAGAGGCCACTGGAACTAGGGCACTAGCCTGACTTTTTAGGCAATGTGTCTTTCTGAGAACTGCAGACCAAGCCCCAGAAGCTGCTGGTTTAGCCTTGCACCTGGGGAAACTGTATTTATTATTCGTGGTTTCATGTATCAGCCAAAAGCTGAATGGAAAAGTTAAGAACTTTCCTAAGTGGCCTTATTTTAATAAGTTTCTTCTGTCTGTTTTGTTTTTCAATTGAAAAGTAATTTAAATAACAGATTTAGAATCTGGTGAGAGCTTCCTCTCTAGTGGGTAGCAGCATTTAAAGTTCAAGCCAGCTCGAAGTGCTGATGCTGTTTAAAAAGTCTCAGGTGGCTCGGTGTGGTGGCTCATGCCTATAAACCCAACATTCTGGGAGGGGGGAGAACTGCTTGAGCCCAGGAGTTCAAAATCAGCCTGGGTAGCATAGCAACAGCCCATCTCATAAAAATTAAAAAATAAAAAGTCTCGGGTGACCAAAGATATTGGTTGGGCTCCTGAAGCTAGAACCAGGTTAGGATAAAGATTGAAGAACCACAGGCCACTCTTCCCTCTGAGCCATTGGGCCTAGTGGTAATTGTAATTGCTGGCGGGGAAAGCAGTCTTTTTGGTATAATTTTGGGATGTCTGCTCAGTTGGCAGGGGTTCAGTCCAAATGGAAGAATATTGGAAAATAAACCTCCACTATACTTTTCTGCCAGGGACTTCTTTCCTATTTATTCATAAAATAAATTATGGTTAATCATACCCATAACGCCTTATTTAAATCCAGTGTTCTCCATAGCTTTTGTCTATTTATGTACCAAGTGTTAATCATTGTTGGGTATTTGAACTTTGTTTTTCTTTAATGTAAAGAAATGCTGCTATTAAACATATTTGTAAATGGTTTTAAAAAAATTGACTGTCTTTGAGCTGGGCATGGTGGCTCACGTATGTAATCCCAGCACTTTGGGGAGGCTGAGGTTGGCAGATCACCTGAGATCAGGAGTTCAAGACCAGCCTGTCCAACCTGGTGAAACCCCATCTCTACTAAAAATACAAAAATTAGCCTGGCATTGTGACGCATGCCTGTAATCCCAGCTACTCGAGAGGCTGAGGAAGGAGAATGGCTCGTACCTGGGAGGCAGAGGTTGCGGTGAGTCAAGATTGACTGCACTCCAGCCTGGGACAGAGCAGGACTCTGTCTCTAAATAAATAAATAAGATTGTATTTTAAATGAAAACACAAAATTTAAAAATATTTATAGATTTGTTTTAAACAACAATAATAAACTTACTCCTTTTTAACATAAAAAGCATATTTGTATAAAATAACTATAATTTCCAAAACAAAAGAATTATTGAGAAGCGTGACATTGCTTTATATTTTCGCAAACCTCTAATATCTGGCTTAATAGAAGATAGCGAAATTCTGAGGTCCCCTGAGGGATGTTAGTGGGCATTGTTTTTTGTGATGTGTTCTTTTCCTTGAACTATAGGAAGAAAATCAGCCTCATACAGATAATTAGTTTAAAAAGTGGAGGGCCATCCTGGACAAGGAGGCAAGACCTCATCTGTAAAAAAAATTTTTTTTAATTAGCTGGGCATGGTAGTACATGCCTGTAGTCCTAGCTTGTTGAATACTGAAGCAGGAGAATCACTTGAGCCCAGGAGTTCAGGACTGCAGTGAGCTATGCTGACATCACACTCTAGCCTGAGCAACAGAGTCTTGAACTTCTGGCCTCAAGTGTTCCACGCACCTCGGCCTCCCAAAGTGCTGGGATTACGGGTGTGAGCCACTACACACAGCCAGGAGAGGTACTTTAATAGCTTTTTAATATAATTGTGACTATTTTTCTTGGTATTACATCAAAACTTGAAGTTCTTAAATGTTAACTATGATGTGGAATCTGGAATCATGAATTTTTGTTTATATTCTGTTGCGTGAAAATCTGCTGATCTCTTGACGTTTGAATGGATCTTTTACTCGTGCAGAATTTTGTAACATCGTACCTTGGTCATCAGAAATACTGGTTCACTGAGCAAATAAAGAGCACCCATATATTGGCACATTTCATTATGTAATGTATTTAAAAATCTTATTTGTTAATGTCTCCAGCAATTGCATCAGAAAAGCCTTCAAGTGTTGAGAAGCTGTCAAGTTCACAGTGATGAATATATGTATTCCAGCATTCCAATTTTTAAATGAAACCTCAAATTTTATCACTGACAGCAAATAACTTCAGTTGTTTTTCTTAAAGTATCAGGCTCTCTTTGTTTTTGAGAAAATATCTGCCCAACACCCAAGTCTGAATAACCAAAGCAGCCAGTTCAGCTTGCTACTCACTGATGTGTGTGTGTTTTTCAAGATAGAACTTTTTTTTGCATACTTTGGTTTGAAGCAAATGAAAAGTTACCATTTTGTCACATAGAAGATTAAAAAGCCATGTCTTCGAAGTTGAGCTTTAATGAAATTATTATGTTAACCTCTTTGTCGAGAACATTCTTGGGGGCAACTGGATTTCTTTTTTACCCTGGCTATGTGGGGTCCAAGAACACACTGACCACTAGTGCAGTTCTTTGCCTGCTGCCTGGATTTATCTAAGTCACCAGCAGTTTTGCCCATAACTGCCTTTGCATTGTCAGGGCAAACGTCAACACAGTGAAAAAGACATAATGCTTTAGTAGTATGAAAATACCTTTGACCTCTTGGACCCCCAAGGGAACATGAGGGCCCACGTTTTATACTTTGTGAACCACTGTACTATAACAGGAAGCAGTGGCTGGTACCCAGAATGGGTGTCTTCGTTTTGTCTGCTCAGCATCCATTTTGTTCCTTCCAGCCATCCCATTCCCCTATTTCCTATGTTCTAGTAGGGCATCCAGTTGAACTTTCCCCAGAGTGCCAACCCTGGCCATAGCCACAGGACTGGCATGGAACCAGGCAGAGTCAATCTGTGGTTAGAGTGGTCACCTCTGGGGTTGTCACCTGGACAATGCCTGTCACTACTCTGGGGCTGCTGCCACAGAACGCTTTCTATCACTAGAGAACTTTGGGAGAGAGAGAGAAAAATACTTTTGCCTCTTTGTTGGGGCCATTTTGCAGGGATGGCCTAGATCTGAAGCTGGTTGTTGCCATGCTGGCCCCGTCCTCTTACCCTTTGCCCCCGCCACGGTCCCACCTTGTCCACAGGATGAGAGAATCAAACCAACACATGGAAAGAAGCAAAGCCAGTGGATGAGGAGGGTCAGAGACCTCAACACATCATTTAAATCCCTGGAGCTCCTGACGACAGCTCCACTCCTGAACGTAAATGGTACTGTGAACCCGTAGATACCTTTTAGCTTAATGTAGGTTCTGACACTTGCAATAAAATGGTTGTGATTATAATTATTGAGCAGTCTTAAAACATTTCTAACTGACACAGAGAGTCTGATGAAGAAGTTCAGGGGGCATTTCTTCCCTGTTGAGGAAGGTCAAAGTAGCACAGAGTGAGCAGATCCTGAAATGTGCATGGGATGGACAGTGATCTCAAAGGGGCATGGCCTGGGCATGGCTCCTCCTGCAGGTGTGTAGATTAGGGGGAAGCACCATTTCTGCTGCTCCCAGAAACTCATTGCTGCTCCAGGGCGAGGCCAGTTCATGATCCAACTGTGACCCATGTTATCACTACTGTGTGATGAACTGTGAAGCCATCCACCCAAGTGTCTTAGTCTGCTTTCTGTTGCTATAACTCAATACCTATGACTAGATAATTTATAAAGAAAATAAATTTACCTCTTACAGTTTTGGATGGTGAGACGTCCAAGAGCATGGCACAAGCATTTGGGAGGGGCTTCTCACCAGGGTGAGGACTCTCTGACAGGGCGTTACATGGTGAGGGAGTTTGGGCTTTTTTTTTTTCTTCTTGAGACAGTTTCACTCTTGTTGCCCAGTCTGGAGTACAATGGTATGATCTTGGCTCACTGCAACCTCCGCCGCCCAGGTTCAAGCGATTCTCCTGCCTCAGCCTCCCAAGTAGCTGCCATTATAGGCGTGCACCACTACACCCAGCTAATTTTGTATTTTTAGTAGAGACAGGGTTTCACCATATTAGTCAGGCTGGTCTTGAACTCCTGACCTTAGGTGATCCAACTGCCTCAGCCTCCCAAAGTGCTGGGATTGTAGGTGTGAGTCACCACACCTGCCAACTTGGCTTTTTATGACAGATCTCCTCCCGTCATGATCCATTAGTTCATTAACCCATGAATAGATTAATCCATGGACCCAATTGCTGTCAAAGACCTCACTTCCCAATACTGATACATTGGGAATTAATTTACAACATGAGTTTCAGAGAGGACGAATATTCAAACCATAAAACCAAGTCTAAATCTCCCATTGTGTCCAAAAGGAATGAATGGGCAACAGCCTAAAAGAGCCAAGGAATACCAAGGCCCAGGGGATTCTGTGTAAGTAATACTGATCACCTGGTCAAAACTGATGTTTGGTTCTAGAGATGAAACCATTGTACTTCACACTCTGTTCACAATCCCGTGCAGGTTCTAAATAGCTCATCTATGTTATGGATTATTGCATCACTCAGAATTCTCAATTGCAGGTAACAGAAATGAATTCTGGCTACTTAAGTAGAAAAGACATTGAAGGGAAGGCCATCTGATAATTCACAGATTCAATGGGAAAGCTGGAGAAAATGGCCCAGACACCAGGCAGGGAGGAAGCAGATAGCCAATACCTCATCTGTGTACAGACCAGTTAGAGGCCATCTCTGGGGTTCCCATCCTGGACAGTTCCTTCCACACTGTCACAGGTCATTTGCCATTATGCGGAAGCTCTAAACTTCACGGCCATAGGAAATCATCTCTAACTGACATACGTATCTGCATTACTCTCTTCTAGATTCATATTTCTAGGGGAAATGTCCAGTTAGGTGGGACCAGGTTTTATGTCCATGTCTGAACTGTCAGGGGAACAGGTAGCAAGTTTCTAATCTCCATCAGATGTTGAAGAGGAAAGTAGGAAACTGCCCGTGGAGAACTCTCATGGTATGCAAATGTCTGCCTCAGTGGGTGCCTGTTCTTTTCTGGAACTGACCTTAATTTGCATTTGACAAAACAAAATCTTGATTCTGTCACCAGAAGGAGGGGAAATGGATGCTGGTCAGAAGAAAACAAAAAGAGACACAAAAACTAATGCCTGTTATGCCCCTTAAGTTTGAAGAAGGGGAAGCGGAGGTCCTGGAAGACTATGTGGTTTGCCCAAAGTTACAGAA